GCTCCACCCAGCTGAAGCTGGAGCTTCTGAGGATCATCGCGGCCACGGGAGCCAATAGCAAATGGCTTCATGTCCGGAACCACAGATGGTGGGATGATTGACCTAGTTTTGCTTGATTTATATATAATGTTTACGGCGCCCAAGGGGGGTGATTTCTTTCCTGAACACCGTGAAGATGTGTTTGTGTTTGTTTCCCGGCTTTCCGACGAAGTACGCAAGTCCTAGAAGATCTTCACTCACCTCAAAGCTTCTGTGTATCTAGAACTTCCTCTTGGATAGCAAATCCAAAGTTGATGTGTCTTTAATGTCTGATGATGTGGAAATTCCTCAAAGCCGGAGTGCCGCTCTTCAGATCCACACACATTGCGGTGGCCAAGCGTTGCGGACGTAGTACGTGACCAACCATAGAGAAACCAATTCCAAGAATTCCAAGAATCATAGATCACTGAAGGTGGTTTCCTATGGTTTCCTTCATAGTACGTGACCCCAATTCCAAGCGTTCCTTTTTAGGGGTCACTCAAGAGATTGAACCTCCACAGGTGTATTTGCGTCCTCGCGTCGTTTCAAGGGTTCGGCCCCCGGAGCCGACCTGATTCCTCACCAAAACCACTGTTTTTTCCATGTCCGTCGCCTGGGGGCGTCGATTCGTTTTTTTTGATCGGGAAAAACCGGTTCCATACATGACACCTTCATGTGAACTGGCATATATGGGGTCAGGGTGGAAGTGCCTGTGCACCACTCAAAGTGCAAAACGATCTTTTCACGAAAGCTAGCACCAGCTAGCTGGAGTTGTCCTTGCTTTAGCAAGTGAGGGGCTGGAATCCTCGAGATCGCCGCATCACGTGAAAACTTCACATGTAGGGGGGGGGCCCCCCCTCCCCCCCCTCCGTGGGTTCAACTCCCCCCTCGGACGCCTCTGGGACACCTCTTGGGCACCTCTTATGGCATCCACTTTGGTTTAACTCCTCCGGGATACGGTGCAACAGATTCAACAAGCTCACAGGTTCGTAAACACATCGGATGCATCGAATAGTGTGGCAAAGTCCAGCCACGCTTCCTTAATTATCGGGGACTTCAATTCTAAGGTTGGCTGTGTCATTGCTGTTTGTGTGTCTTACATGTTCACAACGTTTTACCTCATGAGCATTTGCCTCAATCCGCTTGATGTCCCACCAGTCCGGATGCACCCCTGCTAGCTTTCGTCACCTACCCTCGGCCTCAAGTCTTGATGCACTAGGTGATGAAGAGGACATTCGGGTGTTTCAGTCGCAATGTTGGTGTTTCGGGCTTGCCTTTTAACCTCTATTGACCTATCCGTCAATGAAGCCTTGACCGGGTCGCCCTGAACATGTCGCCGGTGCGGTGCCATGGCCCAGGTGAAAGGCGAATGGGAGTTCCGTGGGCACGGCGTGTCGAGTTGCGCCACCTGCGATGGCTATTTGTACAAGAACAAGGACGGGGAACCTGAAAACGCGAACCTGGTGCGAGCTTGGAAGGAGTGTTTCCTTGGCCAGTTGGTGACCTTGGACTTTTCACCCAACGGAAAAGATCAGTTCGCACCTTAACTAAAGTCTCAGAAAAACACACACATCTCCCCAACAACCTGTCTTTTGCGGAAAACAAATCTGCGAGGCGTTGGCTCACGACCGGAGAACATGATATACTTTTGTTGGACATTGGACGCCCACGGATCTCCGGAAGACGACATGACATTGAGGCACCACATGGCACCACTTCTCCACATGACAAAGACAGCATGGATCTATATTCCAATTGATTTGCAATTGTCTTGACATGAAAAATACCGCAAACAAATGAGTAGCTCATAGAAGCAACATTTTGAGCAGATACTCTCTCCCAGAGGAACACTTCAGAAATAAGGAATGTCCATGTCCATGTACAATACATCCATGACACCCTGCAACTGTCGGTATTTGTCAGCCGGCTCGGGTTACAGAACGTTTGTCACAACGTTCAAGCAATTTTTGCAAAAAAAGACCACACTTCTCCGTGTCTTTTGTCCGAAGCTAAGGCCATACAACTGAGGGAAAAAGAAAGTCCACCACAAGATTCCAGGTCCAAAAAGAGCATCCCTAGAAGCAAGAAGCTTCGAACGTAGCTCCTGGCCATACATACTAGTAACAAGAAGCTACGAACGGAACAACGAGCATCGCTACGAACGGAGCAAGGAGCTACTACTGGTAGGTTGGAGGCCATCGCTATTAGCTTGGAGGCCATCACTACGAACGGAGCAAGAAGCTACTACCAGGGGCCCTCAAAACCATGAAAAAATATATAAAAAATAGAGGTGTTCACGTACCCAAACCATGTTTTTTGCTGGGGAAAACCAGGTTTTGGGTGGTTTGTGGGGCCCCTGGTAGGACCTTCGCTCGGGTTGGCCCCTTTCCTCGTGGCGTTTCCCTCGGCTCGCACCCGAGGCCTGCGCCGTGATCGGTGGCGGCGACAGTGCCATGGAAGAGGTGTGGTTCGGGCGAAGAGATCGATCACCGTCTGAGCTGATCGTTGTTTAAGGAACGTTTGGGTATGTTGCTTTTCTTTGTTTTTGGTGCGTTGGTGTGGTGGTCCTTGACTCCCCTGAAGGCCACCCATATTCTTCTGAAGGGACAAGCCATTTTCAACAAAACACCGTCATGTGGGGGAGTTTGGGTGCTCTGTGTTGCTTCCTTTGAGCGTGAAGAACCGAGGACCCACGGAACCCACGGACCTTCTCCCTCACTGAAAAACCGACGGACAGGAGAACAACTCCGTCGGGTGTCATCCAGGGTTGTCTTGGAGAGCGAACAGAACCATCAGCGGCTCTTGACCATTGATTGAGGTGTGCGAAAGACAGTATACTCGCATCATGTGCAGCTCGTTCTAGTCTAGAGTTCAACCTTCTATATAGATGGTCTTGAGGTTAAGTGGGCCAAAAAGTGTCTCGAAGGTTCCGAAGATTTTGTTGAGAAGTGGCAACTGCCATGCGAGTCCTCAGGTTCTTGAGTGTTAATCCATGAAAATTGAAACCAGATTTGGACACATCTTTGGGGACGCAAAGAAAAGCTCTTGTGGCTGAACATCAAACTCTAGACTGAAGACGATGTGTTTGCTTCATCTTGGCTGAACGGAGGTGTCTCGCGCTTTTCGAACGAAGCCAACATCACATGTCCACCATGACCGAACTTGATCTCCTGGTTGCTTCGGTCACGAACGGACAGGCCTATCAGGTGGTTCGTCCGGACTCACTCCCGGCAAGGCCTTGGTCTTAGCAAGGATCTGCAGCTCGGTCGACCTGCTCCACCGCCGCGACGCCTTCCGGGCCTCGCTGGTGTTGCAGCAGCGGGTGCTGAACCATCCCAACATCCGAGTGCCTCGTCCCAACGTGTCAACGTGAAAAACGGAGACCGGTGGAAACGGAATGAAACGGAGAGAAGGCCGTGAAAACGGCGTGAAAGGTGTGGGAAGGGGAGATGAAAGGAGTGGAATGGAGTATAATGGAGTGTTTGCTTTTTTGAGTCGGCCTTTAGAACTTGGTCAGATTCGAATCTCTACAGGTCAGTGGGATGAATTGCAGGTAGGTCAGTGGGTTTTTGAGGTTCGGAAGGTTTTGGGTTGACGCTCCAGCCCCCCGTAGTGTCAGTGGACTGCGCCGTCCTTCGTCCTTCGTCCTGGCCGGCAAGGAGTTGATCTCAACGGACTTTGGGGCCAATCTGCGTGAGGTCTCAATCTGAAAATGTGTGGCAAAAACTTGCAAAAACTTGCGTCGTCGGATTCTGGGTGAAGCGAACCTGATTGGTCGTCGGATCTGTGCACCACTCGTCGACATCTCCGATGATTTGGTCGCGTAAATGACAACTCCTGAAGGACACAAACCTGCCATGCTCACGATGGAGGGTTGTGCCACGGCCAGACCATCAAGGCAGAAGGAAGCCAGGGAGGCAAGGAAGGAGATGGAAGGAGAACCCAGCCGAGGAAGGAGGAGGAGCAAAGGGAAAGGAAGACATTTCCTGGGGAAAGGCGTGGTCATTATTCCATGTCAGAACTTAATGTCATTCTTGTTGAAGAACCTGGCAATGGGTTTCTGTATTCGAATCCCACAGAAACCAGTGGTCTGAACCTTCGCTAGAAACCTGTCGGCAAAAAGAACCGAAGAGTCGACGTTGTGCGGGTTTTCCAGGTGATTTGTGGGAACCATTTTCCCTGCGTGGCCATGTCCGGTTCCCAATGGGAAAGATGTTTTCTTTACCGGTTCTTGGACAGCAATTGCAAGTATACTTGTATATAATATTTATATACCAGCAGCACCCGACTCTACAGGTCTCCGAAATGGATGCTTTTGTAGACTTAAAAGTCGCAGGTGGTGACCTGTTGGAAGGTCCTGGTATGAGTCATTTTGGTATGAACAAGGATTGAAGATGATTCATGATGCCATATCGAACAGTCACGGTTCAGGAACGATCGTGGCCTCGTGGCCTCACATGTTTGTTGCGTGATCCACTATTTTTCCGGTGCTTGGGTCTCAACATATCCCCAGAGGAACAACGATGAACAAACTACTGTTGTTCATTCACCTCACCGTTTTTTTGTTGTGTGCTTTCGTGGCCATATGCTTATTTAAATCTCAAATCTCAATCTCAAAGCTCCGTTCCCACCAAAGTTCCCAATACGTGGCCTGAATCAGGTTAGATGGAACCTTGGCAGTGCGTGGAGCGGCCTGTGGAGCGGATGAACTGGGGAGTCAAATCCTCGGGTCTCAGGGGTGTTCCGAACCAATCCAGGTTTGAGGGACCAGTCGGGTTGTGAACGGAGCGTTTGGGTAGATCATTTTAGCAACTGGGCATCCAAGAACTTGATGCCTCCTTCGCATAGAAGAACCAGACATATTTCATGCACAAACTGGTCAACATGCATGGACTGGACCCAGTGCTTAACTTGTTTTCAGACCTCGGGTGTTGCAGGATGTTTCACTTCAACCAGGGGTCAGAAGGGAATGTAGCACTCTCATGCGTTTTCTAGTTTTCCTATTTGGACTGCCCAAGTGCACAGCAAGGAACACAGCGGTGAAGCGCTTTGTGGGGAAGACCACAGAGGTTGAGGGCGTGGAGCATAAGGAGCTCACGCATTTAGAGCTCATGGACACCCAGGAGAGCGGAGCGACACGCGGAAAACGCGGTGGAAAACTGTGGTCAATGAGGATCAGAAGCGAACGGATGGCAACATGGATGGGATTTGTTGGTTTTTCATGTGTTGGCAGGTCAATGTTGATGTGTTCCACAAACTTGGTTGGTGCTGTGTTGGTGTTCCCCAGGTGTTTTCTTGAGTTTCTTCAGAAAGCCAAAGCATGTTCAAAGTTTTTCTGACACCATGTGTTCTGAAGAAAATTCTCGATTTACGCATGTGTTCTAACATTTTGTTCCAATGACCAAAGGATTTCTAAGGTTTTCTCAGGCTGTTTGCTTTTGTTGGCTTTTGGTGTGGTTGGCATTGTTGGCTTTTGATTACGTATTGTTTTGGTTATGGCGTGTGCACCCTGCAGGGGCCCTTGCTTTTCTTTTCCCATGTGTCCTTTTCCGTTTCCGTTTCCCATGCCTTTGTCCTTTTCCCTTTCGCTTTTCCCTTTTTCTATGTTTCCGTTTCCTTTTCCTTGATAAGACAGCAGCCAAAAGCGAGAAAAACAACAAACAAACAAACAAACAAACTTAAACAGTTACACAATAAAATCCGAACCCTTAACCACCCCAATGTCATGCTACTTCCATGGGTGTTTGGGGATTGGTCCAATTGGTTGCCCCGGCCCCAACACCATCGCAGGACAGCTCCAAAGATGACCTGGTTCCCATGGAGGCGGCCTTCATTGCCATTGGCCACGACCCCAACACCCGGCTCTTCCGGGGACAGGCGCGCCGCACGGCCAGTCGGCTGAGTTGGAAAAGCCAGGTGTGTTCGTGCTTTTCAGGGGCCCCAACGACGAATCGCAAGGATCCATGGTCAATCAAGGAATGGTTTTTTATAGATACCACAAGAACAAGGTTTTTACAAGAAGTATGGTCCCACAAAAGTGTGCCTCAGTTGCCGCTGCCTGTGAAGAAGGACTTCAAAAGCTATCAATTTTATAAAGACAAGTTAGTTTGCTTTCTCCGCGCAGGTGGACATGGACGAGATGCTTGGCAGAAGCAGCTGCCTTTGGTTTCAATGTGACTGTGGGTCTGGGACCGTAGGTTGGAGGCCATCGCTACTAGCAGCAAGAAGTAGGTTGGGCCACCCCCCGAGTCCTCTGAATCATTGTTTTACGGAATTTTACGCTACAAAACTAGGTCAATCATTGTTATAAAGGTCTTTGAGGGCTAGGGCCAGGGCACCCATGTGCTTTTCCAAGCTGACTCAGGTGTTGAGAGCTTCGAGCATCGATTTTGTCGAAGTGTTCGAAGTACGAATTCCTCATCCAAAAAGAACCCTGCGACTGCAGTGATGTAACTATTCTACTACTTTGGTAGTGGTGAAAATATGACTCCCAAGTGGGGTAGTTCATGAGTCTGGGAGGGTTTGGATTTCGATTACCTTCCCCTCCAGCGGGCGGACGGTGCTCAGCATGACAGCCGGACTGTGCTCTCCTCTTCGGACATCAGCAATGACAAGCATTGAAGTCACCCGGTTTGGGTTGAGAAGCCATGTTGGTGTGTATCAAAATAGGGAGACCTCCCAGGCAATGACCCCCCCCGGAAGACGGGGATAGACCAGATGGGGGCAGGGGGTGAGACACCAGATCCTGACTGGCCTTAGATATGGAGAGAGGAAGAGACCCATCCAGTTCCAGGATGTTCCATGTTCCACCCAGTTGCAAACAAGTTTGTTTCACCTCAGTTGACCACAGAAACGCCAGAAATAAAAAGTGTCAAACACAAGAACCACCCGACTCCAGCACCCGACTTCACAGGTCACCCAACAATAGACCTGTATTCGGGCCCAACAAGCCTTTAGAGGAGACCTGTTGGAGGGTGCTGGTAGTTATATAACCCAGGGCATCCAGTTACCACTTAGACTATAGCTGGTAACCAGTGGTTCCAGTTCGACTAAAACCATAGACCGTTTCCGAAGGGCCCCTGGTTCCTTTGATAGCTAGTGTCACTAGTGGTTGGCCTGGGATGCACTAGGCAATACTCTAGTTACACACCAAAATTCCACTATAGTGGATACTTACTAGTGGATCCTCAGACAAATGGCACTGCTTTGCCACGCCACCACACCCATGTGTTGCTTGTCCCTTCGATCCCGGCACGCACCGGCACGGCACACACCTCAGGACCGGCTATCTCCAGGTGACCGGCAGCCGGACCTCGGTGCCGGGCTTCTTCGCCGCCGGCGATGTGGCGGACCATGTCTACCGACAGGCGGCTGGTGTGGAGGGAGTGGCGGATCGTGTGGGTGGGCAGCTGCTTGGTGGCCTCCAGTGATGTAGGCCTCTTGGATGAATCAACCATTTCCCCAAGCTAGATAGCTATTGAAGAGGTGTTTCATGGATTTTCATATAGCTTCTTCAAGTCACATGGCGGGGGTGATTGATCAGGCTCCAAGCTCAGCAGCCCGGAAAACGGCTGGCCGTGTGGATGTTTCGCCAGATCCATCCATGGGAGTGATGCGGCAAACAGACCGCTTTGGCCATGGAGTGCTTGCCCTTTCAACCCTATAATGGCTAACATTCCCCTGTGGTGTGGTTCCCCCAATGACTGAATAAAACTGGGCGAGTTGAGCCCTCTACCAATAACTGTTTGGACTCTACCAGCTGCTTCCGTTCGACCAATGGACCACCCTACACTGCTGAAAAAGGTCACCAGACAGGACCAACCGACTCCGAAAGTGCTAGGTACGTGGGGCTCAAAAGGCTGACCAACCGACTCCCATGGACCCATGTGTGGACTCCTAGGTCCTTATAACTCGAGGAATTGGCGGATCGAACTCTCAGATCGAGTGGTGGATGGACTACACTTTGTATAGAGGTCATAGACTTAAAGATTTAGTTATATATAATATAGTATATCACCTGGAAAGCCCAAACCCCCCCCCCAAGAAGATGGCCAAGGCAGGCCGTTTGACCTAGCAAGAAACTGACTTTGTGACTGGACCAGCGAACCAGATATAGACCTGGTATTCCTGGGGCTTGGCTGGTTTCGCCCAGAACTCTCAGCGTTTGTCAGATCCAGCGCTTCGGAGACTTCATCTGCCCAGCTGGACTCGTTTCGCCTCATCGCCTCACCGCCTCATCGCCTCGCCTCATCGCTCTCGCCGGCTCTGCTCGCTCCGAGGCCATCACGAGCGCGGGCTCGGGCGCCATGGCGGCGCTCGATGCGGAGAAGTACCTGGATGCGCGGTGGCCCGGGCGACCGGGCGGCCGATCAGACTCGGGCGTCAGTGCGGAGGGATTTGGCGAAGCGTAGCTGGTCGGATGGCGCTCGAGCCTTGGGTCCAGTGATTTGGGAGTGCCTTAAAGTGCCTTGGATCTGTTTGGAGCTCTCCTTCCAAGAGGTTTGAGTTTAGACAGATCACCTATCTTGATGGACCCGAGATGCTCAACCTCCCACAGGAGCTGCGTTGGGCACACGGCATGAGACGTCATGGGACAACGGCCTTTGGTTTATGTCAGTGTCCTCTATATGGTTTCTTGTAGTGTCTATTGTCTGTCAAAGGCTACCTCAGTGGAGGTGCCAAGTAATGCCATGTGACGAAGTCGAGCAAATGGGAGGAGGGTCTCTGTGTTTGGCAAGAGCATCTCAGATAGCACCACCCCTGGCAAGAGCATCTCAGATATTTTGGACATAGATGCGGTGCTCTTCAGATGCCGCGGCACTCTTCCAACAATGTTTTCCAGGTCTGGGCCACATGACCTACTGAGCTTGAAATCGTTGTGCTTTTTTCGATTTCGGGCAGTCACCTGGCTTGACAGCATGCGTTTGACAGCATAGGAGATTGTCTTTCCCAGTTCCCGGTGAACCTCGGGTCGTTTTTCGGGTGTCCCAGATCAGCCAAAAGCCCAGGAGAATCCGGTGGAGGAAGACACTTGCGTGAAGCAGGCCAGGTGCCAGCGACCTTCTGGCGATGTTCAGGGTGTTTTCACGAGGTTCCAGGCTAGGCTCCATGTCAACATGAGACCTCTCATGGTGCTGCAGGCGAACAAAAAAAACAAAACCATGTTCTCTGAGAAAACCCCTCAGGGTCCAACCAAAAGAGTGCCAATTTCGATCCATATATAGGGTGTGTGGGTGGTATGTATGTGGGTCTTTCATATCACTCATTCTTATCAGATGATGTTGATGTTAAGTAAAAAAAAATACTGGGGGAAACATGCGGAAACATCGGGCAGATCAGCTGTCGGATTAGTGAGCTGAAAGATGGGGCGGAAGACGACCATCTGCCCAGGAAGACTTCCAGACTTGGTCGCTCAAGGATCTTCGCGAACAGGCTGGACGAGTAGTGACTGGTGAACCGGCGTGGCTCTGGTGGTTTTTGTGAGATGACGGGTTCAACCGGAGGTGACCGTTGCGGATCCTGGAAGGTGGCTGGGGTTGGGTGATGTTGGGTGTTTAAAGACACTCCCTGTGGGTTCCAACGCCGCTGAACAGTTCGTCCACTCCCGGGGTCGCCCGACTCCATGCTCGGCCTTTCTCCGGCCACGTCTCGAGGTGAAGTTATTGGGTGTGAACTGCGTGGCGTGCCGAGAGAAGCAAGACTTCATTGCCTCCCTCCAGGCGCGATCCACGAGAGATGGTGACGGACCGGGAACCGGAGGGGAGGTGGCGTTCGGCGTTCGGAGTCGGTCTTAGTGGTGTTTTTAGTGGATGATAGTGGTGTTGATGTGGTTATATGATGTTATATGTGGTTCATGGGCAATCGTTATTCGGTGAAGTAGAGAGTGTCAAAAACGAAACTCAAGTTCGTTTCGTTGTGATGTATAGTTTTTTGTTTGTTTTTTTTTTCGGATGCAGCATCCACCGCTGAACAGCTGCTGTTTCGGATGCAGCATTTCGAAGCGGATTTCTCCACTCCACCAGTCCACCAGGCCACATTCTGAGAATCCGCGAATCCGCGCCAGTGACGGGCGCTGTGATCGGCGCGGCGATCGTTCTAAGACATGCACCAGACGACCAGAGTGAATTCGCTGAAGTCCGGGAGTACTGAGCACACTAGACATACATTGACACTATAGATACAGTTGAACAGCTTGAGGTCCCTACGGAAGGCCAAAAATAGCACCAGATCCATAGAAAGGAGGTGAAGTCCTATGAAGCCGGCCATCTGAGAACAGTGTGCCAGGCTGTGCCAGGTTCATGGCTTTAGGCAGTTATGCTTCGGTAGCTTGTGCAACTCAAATGCTTTACTGAGGAGATTTGAGGCCACTCGGTGCATTCTTGTGCTGATGCCGAGACACTTCGGCACTTTCAAACACAGGCATGCATGAATGTAGCAAAGCCAGCACTCTTTGGCTACATCTTACACTCCCGAAAACTAACATAGAACCTGAAAATGGACCTTTGGAAGATTATTTTCCTCTACAACCCAGTGGTTTTCAGGTTCCATGTTAATCTTCCCGAGTGTAGTCCGAAAAGACCTTTCCAAAGCAATCCTAGACATGTGGATGATGTGGATGTGAGAGAGGTCAAGACCCTGCAAGAACTGGGACAGAAGGTCATGATCCTGCAAGGACTTAAATCACATTCACGGGAACTATATACAGACATTTTGAAACATCGATCGATCTGAATCGCTTCTTTTGAGCCGAACGTGTGCCCATCTGCCTCAGCATTAGCCAGATCACTCCCAAGAGAGAGATCTGGTTCTTCGTCTTCCATGGCGGTTCGGGCTGTGATTGGAGGACGAGAAATGGACTATCTTAAAGGATCAGTGGTCATAGTGTAGACCCGGAACCCGGGTTCTGTCGAGCCCACACCACACCTTTTCCCGCGTGTGATCACAGGACTTGCCAGGGACCTGTTCACTGGTGGTCGGTAGGTCTCCGAGAACTCGGAGAAGCATTATCCCCAAACAGGGAGAACTTGGTGCTCCTCTAGAACAGCATGATTTCAGGGAGTGTATATACTGGGTCCTTGGGTTCTAGAAGGTTCTAGATCTGGGTTGGCCTCCAGGTCAATCAGTTAGATCTCCAGGTCAATCAGCTAGGTGTCCAGGGTCGTTGGATCTGCAGGTCTATTTGTCGGCAGATGTGGCATCCAGAAGAAGATCAGAGATTATCAGAGTCGATGCCACTGGACCTAGATATCCCCAATCTGGCCTTTCTAGGTTCCTTACTAGTTTCAACCCATGTAGTTCCCAAAAAGCAAGGCCAATACTACTTTTAGTATTTAAAAGGTCCACCCGCACCGCCATGAAACAGTTGCCCAACAAAAACGGCGAATAGCGAGGTTTTTGAGGTTGATGTTGCCAAAAACGCCATTGCGTACCGTATTTTACAGTGTTTTTATGCTCTGTGAGGCAGAAAGCACAGCAAATAGCGATGTGTTTGAGCTTGCCATGGCCCAAAACACCGCTATTTACAGTGTTTTTGAACCTGCTGTCAAAAAACACCGCAATTTGCGACGTTTTCAACAACATGGTCCATGGTCGCCAAAAACATTGCTATTTGCGAGGTGTTTTTACATTTCGTGCAAAGAACTCAGGCCTCAGCAATGTACAAAAACACAGCAAAAAAACTAATGTTTCTGCCCAACAAAAACAGCGAAAACCGTCACCCAAACAGCTCCGCAATCACAAAATCTCGCCTCCCGGCCTCCCGACAAGACACATGGTCACATGGAAAACATAGGCGTCTCAAAACCAAAATCGAAGACCAAAAGTCAAAAAACATATGTGTTGTTTTCACTTTTCTCTTGCCGGTTCTGGGCGGGCGCATGCACGAACTAGTCTATTCCGTGCTGTAAAAAACAGTGTTTTTTGAAGTCCGCCGTCGTGACCTATCAAAAGCCCATGTTTTTGGCCAAAAAATGGATCCCCCCCCACATAAACCTGTGCCTTACAGTTGTTTATGCCATCCGGATGATCACGCCCTGAGCACCTTCGGTGCGGGCGGATTTGAGGTCACTTCAGGGGAGCCCTATTGATAAATCAGAGGCGCACATTACCGTGTTAATATCAGTGCCACAAGAACTTTCAGTGGATGCTGAGCTGCTACCCTGCTTTGGGGCCACAAACCAAGATAGCATCCGTGGGAGTTTTGGCACCGTTCTTCCAATGAAGGGTGGTCAAATCTGCTGTGCAAAATCCCAGCTGCGATTCTTTAGGTTTCCGGGTGACCGACCCCCACCACGGGCTTCCAACACAGGAGGCGACGGATCCGCGCTGTCCTCCCAACAAGGCCCAGTCCACCGGCGCAGATCTGAAAACGGTGTCTGCCGACAAAGACCAGTGTGGCATCGAACACCACACCATGCATGGAAAAGGATTGATTCGCGGTTCGCGGTTCGCGGCACTGGAAGGGGCACAGTTGTGGGGCACTGGACTGTGGGGAGTGGTGAAGAAAGAGAAATGGTTGCCAGTGTGCCAACAAGATCCAACAAGGACAGGAGATGTCTTTTGCCAGAGCATGTTAAGTTATTCTTGGTGTCTGTACAGGCCCATGCCCAATCGTAGAGTTAAAGGGTAAACATGCAGGTACATAACTCTGAGAAATCATCAGTTACCACTGTATAAGGAACCAGGGTTTCTAAGTCTATGGTTTTAGTTGAAGTGAAACCACTGGGACTCCCAGCGAAGGATAGCGGTTTGCATGGATCCCCTGGGGCTGAGTTCACAACCCAAGACCATCCAAAACCACCAGGTTGCATTTGGAACTTTCTCAGTTTCCTTTTTTTTTCTGTTTGTATGAAACCTTGCACATTTTGCAGGACCCCCTGTCGGGATGGTTGATGGACAACCCCTTGAATCCCCTTGACCTCTTTTCGGGGCTAATGGACATCCCTCCCGTGTAGCTGGTTCATGATGCAATTTCTTTTCAACTTGTATTCCAAAACATAAGGCCATCGCTCATCGTTCTTGGGTTTGAGGCCATCGCTAGCAGGTTGGAGGCCATCGCTAGTAGGTTGGAGGCCATCGCTATTAGGTTCGAGGCCCTCGCTAGTAGGTTGGAGTCCATCGCTAGTAGGTTAGTAGCTATCTCTTCCTTACTTAATCAAGTGTACAGGATCCGAACACGTCACGTGTCCCGTCGCGTCCTCAGTCGCCACGCTTCCCGTCGCCGCGGTAGCGTCGCATCTGGAGACTGCCTGCGCGAGGCGCGAGGCGAATCGATGCCATGCGCGGCACGGTCCGGGGTGAAGTCTGTGTTTTGGTTGTTTTTTTTGTGTTTTTCGCTTCAGCCACATGCCAAGGTCGCCCAAGCCTTCGGGCAGGATGTATCAAACATCAACAGATGATGGGTTTTGGGGGACTCATGGAACTTCCAAGAATCGTCCATGGCGCCATAGTTTTGCCTGATGTGAGTGAGAGAGAAGACAGTGAGAACGCGACAGTTTGAGAAGTGTTTTGGACACTTCCAGGAGAAACTTGGAGAAACATGTCTTTCCACGTTTTTGTTGTTTAAAGCATCTCTTACCGCCAATCTTTGCTATCCACCTCAAGCTATATTGCAGTGACTGGCCATCAAGAATATACCCCTCTTCAAGGCTTGGCTTCCCAAGGGATGCTAGGCTTTGGCTGAATTGTTTGGTCGGGATCTGGAAGAGTTCGGAATAGACCTCTGCGGCTCAAATCCAGATCATTTGATGAGTGGCTGGGTGACCACCAAATCCGCTTGCCAGCCCAATATTGGGGGTCAGCCTTCCATTGAGGTCTTTCAGAGAGGTTGGATCGTCCCTCGTAAATATGCGAGAAGAAAAAAAGTAGTAAGAAAGCATCAACACCCTGAGCTGGTGTAGAATCTAGCACAAATTTCAACTGTTCAGTGTCCAATCACTTTTTGGTGTTGGCCTTCACTACTCCGTGCCGTCAGGGACGTTCACATGGCGGCAGTTCCCATAAATCAGCTTGCACGGAACAAGGTGCGGGGAGAACAGGCCGAATGAATACTTGGATTTGCTTAAGCCTCTTGGGAACCATATGTTTTTGCAATACATAGCCCTGGCTGTCACCTATACATAGCCCTGGCTGACGTCCCGCAGATTTGATCGATTAAGACACTGGATAAGAAAGGCTTTCGCTGGTTGACAGGGAGGAGTGACTTATTTGGTCACTTGAGAACGGGTGGCTGAGGAGTGCAGAAGACAGACGCGTCCGACAATAATTTGATTGGTTTCTATTATTATAGATGCGAGTGAGTGAATGGTACTCAGACATGGTATGTCAAGCACCCCTGTGGGCCTGTCATTCCGCGTTAGCAAGCTCCCTTGCTCAAAAGAAGGAATTCGACTCTGGAGATTGGATGAACCAAGAGAGGTTAAGTGACCGTAAATAGGACCCGAGAATTCCCGGGGTACCTATGAAATAGTCGAACGTTCGGGTCCTTCAACCTCTGTTGGGTTCGGACGTGTCCAGGTTCTCTTTGCCGCGGCGCCAGTAAGGCCCAGTGGCCCCCCGGCGAAGGGTCTTAGTCTTCGACCCACCCAGGAAAGGTGGATCACCTGCAGGTCACCTTTTGTATACGGGATTGGTGCACTAAAGAACGAAACAGGTGGACAAAAAGAGAGAGCCACCTGCATAGGGCCACGTCACGGCCACGAAGCTCCGAAGCCTCACGCCATCCAAACATGTCGCTCCCTCTAGCACTAGCACAACGTTTGAGGCCTCAAAAGATGCCTTGCCTTTCTTCCAACAAAAAAACAAAAAGGTGACTTCAGGATGGATGTCGCATGGGTCCCTTCCTTTTGTGGAGTGAAAAAGCGGTCATCAGAGGTAGTTGGCACATCTATGGCCTTTTGCCACGCTTCCAGGTGCTTCTCATTGGCTTTCCAGCCACCTGCCTGGTTTGGTCTCCTTTTGTCGCCCGCAGGGCGTGAAATACACGTGCGAGATCACTGGAAGCCCGGCCACCTTGGTTTGCTCTGAGTGTCCAGTCTACTTTGCCACCTATGACGCGTGGCTACACATGACTTGGGGCAACGACCAATGACTTGGGGAGCACGGTGGGGTCGGAGGTCAGTGTGGTCGTTTCGGGGGTCACCAGGTCCACGGAAAAGAACCCAACTCACAGTCGACCGTTGAGATTTGCTCACATCAATCAATTCACGACCGGGAACATCGGAACATGGGTGTCCTATCTGGGGACTATACCCATATACCCTGTATAAATTATAACGTCATGATACAACTAATATATGGTCCTTCTTGTCCTTATTCTTTTCTACTGACTGTGTTTGTTTGAAACATGCGACCAATTTGGAGATGTTTTCCTTTACCATCGGAGCCTGCAACCCGATCCGATGGATTCCTGGCATCAAAAAAAAACAGGATATCGAGGATGGCATGGTGTCTACCGACTCCCGTACTCGCCAGCAAGTGACCGAAGCAAGCTGGGGATGAAGATGAAGTTTGATCACGAACTGAAGAACCAGGTGTTCTGATCATGAAGATGATGATGAAAAAACAAGTTTTCCTCTGACGTCTGAAAACTTAAAACAACATGTTGGTGTCCACTGGGCAAGCCATTTTCCTGGATCCTCCGCACTCGCAGGAGACAATGTTGGGATGCATGACATTGGCCTGTCAGAAATTTGTCCATTGACGGATAGAAGAGCTAGTCAGCTAGTCAACTCAGTCCAAGTAGCAGCCATTTGACTATAGAGGTATCGGTTCTACTAGCCGTACTGGCCTAAAGAAGTGACAGTGAGCCGCAATTTTGCCGAGGAGCACTTTGATGTTTGGTGGAAGGGCATTGGCAACCTCATCGCACAGGAGACTTCGTTTCGATGCAAAGTTCAAGTTGTCTTTTCTGGGGTCTTACTTCCACGCCCTCCGGGATCTCAGAGAGGGGAGTGGAGTGGGTGGAGTGGGTGGTGTGTCTCATCCAGTGGCTCCCCAATGCATTTGTCTCAAGATCCAGCGACCCAAACTACATAGGCTGACGACCCGGGTCGCTCTGGGTCGGATCATCGGATCAGGCGACAGTGTTCATGCTGGAGCAGCGAGATTCGTCACCAGAATTCGTCCAAAAAAGGATACAAAAAGGTGTGTGTTGTTTTGGGGATGGATTCACCCAAATGGTCATGTCTGTCATTTCACAATATTTCATACACAACTAATTCCTCCCAAAGAATAGATATTTCACAAATAGGAGAGATAGGGTGAGATTCCTCCAGAATTCCAGGACTCCAGAATTCCTTCGAAACTCGAGTTTCAAAAATCCTTTCTGCATCATGGATCCTGAAAGAGAGGCCAAAGCTGGACAGCAAAACATCACTGTGGCTGAACAAAACTGGTGAACTGAAGACCATTCTGAGCTCCGACAGGTCTGGAGCTGTCACAGATCTGCTATTGCTGCTCTTTTCATGGTCCTGACTTGGCATGTCTTTGAGACGTTTAAACAAAAATAACGGTCAAGACGGCCATGAAAAGCGTCGGAGATTTCCTGATGTTTCATGATCCCTGGCAATTTGCATAGCTCTTAGAAACGACCCCCCCAAACACTCATCCACCCATCACATTCCTTTTCACATTGCCCCAGCTAGTTACTCGCATCTTCAGCACAGTTGTGGACCTTCCACTTGGACCTTAAAAGAATTCCTTCCACTCCCTCCATCAAACCTTCCTTCCACATGCACCTACCCCCCCCCCTTGCTTCAGTGCACCGGACCCGTAGACCGCGCCGTGTACGCGCCGAATCCGTCGCAGGACATCGTGGTGCTCCGGGCGCCGCCGAAGATGATCGGCTCGGAGGATGAGCGGAAGCGCCGGACCGAGGACCGGACCCGGGGGCAACGGACGAAGCCGGGTGCAAACAGAGTGTGTTAGCCTTTGTGTCCGGTGTTTGGAGATGATTTTGGGTGGGTGAAGATGTGTATCAAAGTGCACAGGGGTCTCCAATAGACCTGTTGGATGGTCCTGGTCCGATACGGGGGAGAAAAGGGTTTGTTTGCGGGTGTTGCACTGTCTTTTTCAGAGACATTTGTATAGTGCTTAAAGAAGTGAGCTTTTGAGTTTTTCTGTATCCAATGGTGCTCCAAGTGGTGTTTAAGCAGGGTGATGGCCCAACCCCTAGTTCAGTCTTTATCCTATCATCTTTGCTTTACTTCTTTGGCTTTGTGTTTCTTGTCATGTCTAGCCTTCTTGCTACAACACCTTCTGATACACCCCCAGCCATCTGATAGACCCCAGCGTTCTGGGCTTCAAAAAAAGCCACAGCCCCCCCCCGCCATGCGATCTAGGGCGCCGTCCTTTTTGGTCGGCTCAGTCGATGGTAGGAGCTGATGGGCATCAGGAAGGAACTCTTGGAGCTCTGCACCGAAACCGCCCAGAAGTTCCTGGTGCCACGAGCAGAGAAACCGGGGCAAAACGGCCCAGTGCCAAAACGCATGCCGGTGCATGAGGTGATCGATGTTGGGTCGCGGGGGGGGCAGCGTGTCTCTTTTTTCGGGGTGCACTTTGAGGTTCGGAGTGCCCTGTCACAGCCACTGTTGCAACTGGATGAGTCAAGGATCCATGTCTGGCCCATTCGAGTAGGTGTTGGTCTCCCAGGTGCAGGGCAAGTATGACCTCGCGGTCCCGGGAGCTTTGCAAAGCCCGGATGCTTAGAGTTTGGGGCGCATGGCGGTGTCGTTTGGGTCCAAGTCCGAAGCGAGACACTAGAGTTTGATGGGGGTTTCGAAGTCAAGAACTTCCAAGAGAGGTAGCCAGTGACCTTAAATAGGACACTAGTCGAATTCCTGAATTACCCAACTGGCCATGAGTCGAATGTTCGGTGCTTCAAGCGGTTTGTTGGTTTCTTGGATCGGCCCGAGGTTCGTTTGGAAACGAGAAGGTGTTTGTGATGTTTGTGTCACTTTTGGGCGCATGACGCGTGCCGTGCCACGGCTCTGTGACGTGACAAGGTGCATTCTCCGGTGCTTGGAAAATAGCGCGAAGAATCATGGAAGTGGAGTTCACCATCTGTAAGGTCTTCGGAAAATGGTCATCCTGAACCACGGGGCCATGCCATCCACTCCAATGACTATTGCAGCGAGTGTAGTGTCAGGAGGCACTTCTTAGAGTTGCTTCGAGGATGTTTCAGGTTACAAGTACACCAGTAGATTCGGTAGATATCTATACCTTCATGCGGCATTCCTGCATCAATACCTGTGTCAATTGTTCACCTGGGTCCTCACCAAGAGAACGAAGAAAACAGCGAAAAACGAGTGCCTACGTGTCACTTTCTTGCAATTGATGTTCATTTGATTACTGCGTCGCTTGGTGGCCGGGTCGCTTCAAACCACGAACATTGATGCCGGGTCGCTCAGCTCCTTTCACGACCGAACTGACTTGGGAAGACACCGTATGGCACCCGAAGGAGAAAGCTTGCCATCACAGGGGGCTCTTAGACGCCACCTTCTCTCAACACTTGCACCCACAGAAAGTGATCACCTCAGCCCCCTCCCACCCTTCTGAGTGACTTTGCCTCGCAGCGCCCAACATGCGAGGCTTGAAGTTCGCCATTGATGTCTTCGGCGCCGAGGCTTCAGAGCTGGTGCCCTCCTATTTGCTCTTAGCAGAGGCGGGGCGGTTCTGTGAACAGGCAAGAGTTGAGGAAAAACGCAGGGCCCGGTCAGGTTGGTGCGCTGCCGGGGGAGATGGAGACAACAGCGATTTGGAGTACGTACCTAAGGTCAGTGCATTTCGAACGGCGCATGTCTCGTAGCAACTCCGGTTCCTTTGCAGTTCTCGTTGTTCCATCACGGCGATGGGATATGTTGGGCCATTTCGTTGGGGATGAGGATGAACACGGGTATGTTCTATGCAAGGGCCAGGACATGGGGCTCCAAAGAGATCACTAGAGGCTCCATCGTGCCCATTGAGGTTTGCCGCTCCAAGAGAGCGGCAGGGGCGGAAGCGCCAAGCAACTCTTTGCTTCAAGGAACGCAAGGCTTGAAGGCCTGAAAAGGTCACCTGGATCTTCCAACTAGGCCAAGTGTGTGCCGACCTTGGCTGAGTTTTGGGGGATGAAAAGGCAGAATTTTGTCACAGTTGGAAGTGCCCGGAATGCATTCAGTGGGTGTTCATCCTAAACAGGATCTTCTACCTTCGTGCGTTCTAAATCTTGAACGAGCATTTACTATTGTATGTCCCACAGCCAGGTCAAGTCGCCCATTTGGGTTAGTTTAGCCAAGTTGTTTTAAACATGTTTTAAATCTTAAGCACTCCCCAATCTATACAATGTATGGCCTCATTCTACTGCGCTCCGGCAAAAAGAGACACACCGACACATGATGAATGGCAAATCGATTGTTGCAGCATGATGTTGGCAATCTCCAGCACCAAAACGAGTTGTTCTTGATTTTCCATTGGCGGCCGGGGGAGAGGAACTTTGGCTGCCTCAGGTCCGGTCTAGACAACCCAAAGAGACCGATAACCTCGTCCCCTGGGTGAGGTGAGCTCGTCCCGATTGGCCACCCAATGCACTCCTGGTGCCGGTGTTCTGAAGGAACTTCCGAACACGCACTCCCTCCGCTGCCTCCATCCAGGCGAACCTTGGACTTCGACGCTTAAAGATTGCGGAGGAGTTCCTATCCTTAGCCAACTGGAACATCTTGAAGCACCCACAGGTGGGGGTTTCGGAGAAATCTGACTGGTGGATTCCGAAGGTGTTTGTAAACTGGTGTTGTTTCGGAGTTCCCCGAACTCTGACATCCGCCGCGAAATTCAGGAGGTTGTCTCAAGATTCTTCTATAGGTCTTGGAGTCGGCAGACATGTGCGAGTTGAGTGGGAACAAGGGGAAGACGGGCGCCACAGGGACGATCTGATAGAAGTGATGTTTGACCCTGACTTGGTTCGGATCCGTAAGGATGTTCAAGTATAGCGGATTCATTTGACCGAAGAATCTGCAGCAACTAAAACGCTAATGAATTGCCACCCAGAAGTCCAGAAGCCATGGTTTGAGTCAAGGCACCTGGCGCGGATGTTTGCCAGTTTGATGTGTTTTTCATGGCATAAAGAAGAGTGTCTCACCAGCTTGCAGTCCCCTAGGGATCCAGTCGTACCTTCTCAGCAAGTGATGTGTTCGACACCGCTATGTAGGTACCAGGAGGGTCCAGTCGTACCGAACCTGAGGTTCGGTACGACTGGATCCATAGGGGTAGTTTCTGGCCCAATTAAATCTTCCAACATGCCGCTGGACTTCGGGCCGTGCCTTGGAGCCGCCGGATCGCAAAAACGGAACGAACGAAGTAGGTCGCCAGAGCCATGCGTAAGTCACGGGCATCACCGTTTTTCGAGCCTCGTAAGTCATGGTGACACCGATGATGGCCATATACATCGGCGGATTCCAGTGGGTCTTTGCACGTTTTGGCTGTAGCTCATGTAGGGCAACGCTTTGTGCCATGGATCCTCTGAGAGATTTGGAATTCCATCCCAAAAGAGCACTTGTGTTTTCTTTTGGGCCGAACAAACACCAACCAACCGCCGACAGAGGTCGTCTTCGGGTTTCGTCACCAGGCGAGCAGCTCGATGATGTCGAACCTGCAGCGGAACTTCGGGCGTCTCTACGCCGCGCAGCAGCGCTACAACGAGGCCGGTCGAGCGTTGGCCAAACGGTCGATGCTTGGCGATGGTAGGGCGGTGGCGATGACCAGGACAGGCAGCATCGAATAAATTCGAAAGATAGAATATGCATCTCAATGAACTGAAGCTTTTGGATGGTGTTGGTGGGTTTAGATGGTTTTTGTGATAGTTGTTGGCATTCTTGGCAAAAAACAACACTTTTTGGCACGTCCAAAGCTTTCTTTTGCACGGCTGATAGCCCTACTTTTCATGTGCGCAGCTCTTGACCTTTTGCTTGGTGAAGAACACCGACAAAATCGTCCAAAACCATGACCCTCCCTTTACATCTCTTCACCTGGTTTCCCTCTCTTCACCACATGGGTCGTCCTCGGCCAGGCATTGCAAGCCTTCGCCACCGCCCTTCGCCAGCATGGATTGGAGTTGCATTTTCTTCCCACCCAGGTGAAAGAAGTGGCCGGTCCCAGTGGTTCCGGTTTTCGCTGCAGGTTATTTAATTGTTGAATTTTCACGAACCTGGGTCACCTGGGTATCAATCCCCAAACAATCCCAAACCGCTGTTGATTTCGTTTTGTATTTTTATGCAGGCTTTCCGAACAAGCAAATCCAAGGGGTTCTGTTTGGGGTATAAAGAAGTGGTTTTGGTTCATCGTCTCACCACCTGTCATGGCATAAGGCACAAGATGGCATAAGCACCACGTTTCCTCTATAAGACCCAAACAGCGGGTGTTCCACTCAAACCATCATCCAGAATTTTGAGAGCCAGGATATCTACTATTCCTCCATGGAGTTTGGACCAGAAAATATTCGATCAGCTCCATCCTACTTCCACATGGGCCGCGTCTTTCAGAGTGCCTTGTCTTCCGGCGACGCGGGCGAGGGATGGCGAGGGGAAGGAGGGCTCAAGAAGTGGTTCATAGACCAGGACCATCCCGTTTCGCGGGGTGTCCTAGCTTGACTCAGCTACCTGGGCCACTACTATCCGGGATCTCCAGTGGTCCAGGGACAGGAAGGGATGGTCTTATGAATCTCCATCTAACAGTGCCGATGGCTCTGCGCCCTTCTAAGGCCATCAAAAGGCGGAACGCGCCGTGGCCTTCTATACCAAGGCGGCCGGCAACACGTACGTCAGTATCGTGTGCTTGGGAGCATCCAGAAAAGAACACCGCCTGAACTCGAATCCGGCGGTCTACTCGTGCGGTGAATTTGGAGGTCTTGCAATCCACACGTCGACTGTGTCTCAAAACTTCTTCAATCTCCACACCCTGGTCGCATGAACCAGGTCAGCTGTGTGGAACGTGAACGACGCGTCCCGCACAGGTCGTGGATGTCTATAGCAAGTTCTTGGATTCCTGGATGCGCCGGGAAGCCCAGAAGAGAACTTTGCTTCGAAGAGCGACGACATCGGCGAGGACATCGTGATGTTGATGTCACCTGATCGTCGTCTGCTTTGCTCTGAAGCTTTACATGTTTAGCCAATGTTGAGCTGAAGAATCGGCAGCCCTGCAGAAAAATATGGCCAGGTCGCTCCAGGCTGTTTGACCCAGATGGCCGTGGCAAAATCTTTGCCCATGCTACTCAAGTTGGTTCTTTGTTTGGTGGTGGAGACAGTGGCTTAGAGGTCCATTGAGGTCCCAGACTTCTCCCCCTCAAACCAGCGTGGAGCATGCGGCACCTCCGCTTGAGTAAACCCCCGACCATCGGGACGATAGAGGACGTGCCTTCAGGCTCGAGCACGGGTGAGACCTCAGAGATTACCTCCGTGGAAGTCGAAGAAGCTGTGGAAATCGCTCCTTGGACGAACAAGAGAACGACGAGCTGATGCCTCGGAGTCGAGACCTCGGTGGTCGGTGTTTTTTGGAGTGAAACCTGGTGACCCTTTCCTTTGATCGGCCGAGGATCGGTCTTTGCTCCTTGCAACGTAACATGCCCAGACACCGACCTGGTCCCCCCCCAAAACCCTGTCGGAAGAGACGGAGCAGATGCACGAAGAGTCATGGATGCCGAAGCACTGGAGTGAGTTGGGGATTCACACTGATGTTGATCAATTCGATCGATGTTCAATTCGTTTCTTCTAATTGACTAGTCCGTTGCCGGATGTGTCGCGCCCTGTGTCGCTGAAACGGGAGGATCCGGTCGGACAACCACTTCAGACCACGTTGGGTGGACGGACGAGCGTGTGATGTGCACTGGGAGAGCATATATCGGCAATACAATGGATTTGGTGAGGATGAAGCGTTGGGGGTTTGCAGATGTGGAAAGGGTGATGAGACGACTTGGATGAGCTAAAACCATGCTTTGACAAACCTCCAGATGAATTTTCACAGATGCAATGCCGAGTTTTGAGGTGATGAGAGGATCAAGCATCAAGAGGGTGTCTCCTTCCAAACCAACCTTTCTCTCCCAGAAACTCGCTGTTACTCAGGAAGCGCCCTTTGGTCGCGGTGGTCGGGGGGGCAGAACATCTTCCCCCAACAGGGAGCCCACGTTCGAAGCGACGCCGCCTCCAACCCCTCCAGAACCCCTCCGAATTCCGCGACACAAGACATGACCACCGACCGCCGACCCAACGGAGCGTGACGCGACAACGGCCCCGGGTGACGCTCGTCTCGGAGGTGAAGCACATTGCAGACTACCATGAGAAGCGCCTTGAGTCTGATCCCGGCAACCAGGATGCCACTAGGCCTGGGACGCTGCGTTCGGTGGGATCGATATGTTACAAAGAAAGGACGCCACAGGCGCAGGGGTGGCACATCTGGTTTTAACAAGGTGATGTGGATGTTCCCCAAACTGGGTGGCTCCCCTGAACATGGGGGAATCGGAAGATGTGTGTCTTTTTTTGTTGCCTTTCTTGCGTATGCAAATCCAACCACATGTGTGACATATGTGTGGGATGTTTGGATATGGGAGAAATTGGGCCGAGCGGGACCATCCATTTGCAGGGATACTCATCCCTAGGGATCCAGTCGTACCGAACCTCACAAGGTACTTGGACCCTCCAAACCTACAAAACAGTGTCTCCAATGACCTGCTGAGAAGGTACTTGGATCTGTAGGTATATATATACGGTTGAAAGACCATCCGATTATGATGTAGCTGAGCGATCGGAACTTGAGCTGCCAGTCAAGTCAGTCACGTTGATAAGATTTGTGCGAGGATATGCAAGGACTAAGGACTCCTGTCCTTTTGCGGTGTTACTCATGGCAGCAGTCTTGACTCGCCTGTGTTATCCTTGTTTTTTCAACATTGGTTCACCATCCATCCTCACAATAGAACAACATCC